TCAGCATAGAGGATTTTTATTGCAACTTTCGTTTCTGTCTGGTTTCTGTTACCTTTCCTTCAAAATTACCGCTGGTAAAGCCTCCCCCGCTCCGTCTGTGCTCTGTGTCTCAATGTGACATGATGTGAAAGCATGCACAGGCGTCAGTGTTGATTGGCTATCACTTGTGCTGTGTAACCAATCAGAGGGGGCTGTAGGCGGGACATTGTTACAAAGCCCAGTGCAGTGGGGACTGCAGGCAAGTAGGGAGAGGCTGTATCAGAGCCAAAGGAGCGAGTTTTAAAATACATTTATTTGATCGATTACCGATGAAAAAACGTCCGATGCCGATTATGGTAAACAGTAGGTTGTGTTTACTCGCACAGCGTGTGCCTAAATCATTTTCCCGGTTCGCACATATATATATATATTTTTAGGGGCAAATGCGAGTGAAATGCTCGCACAGTAGAGCACTTCTGCCCGTGCCGGACAGAAATTTCACCACGCTGGAAATCCGGTGCTGTGCCGGAGAACTTTCACCCCTGAAATTTTCATGGATGCAACCCACATACTCAGCTCTGCTGCTCATCACAGTAATGCATGTTCCTTACATGCATTTGTGTGATGAGCAGCAGAGCTGAGTATGTGAAATAAACAGGCTTTTGAATGGTATAAGATGTATTTCCAAGAAGCATTGTTACAACAAAGAAATAATCTACCAAAAACAAATTTCCTTACTTTTTGTTCTTAGTTCATAAGTAAGTGCAATATAACCTCCTCCAAAAAAAAGTCAGTGCTTTGTCAATAAACGTGTTCAGCATGTAGAAAGCCATATTTCAATCTGTTCTGTCCACGGTCTCTCATTCATCGGCGCTATGGTTTACCATTGCAGTTTACACAAGCACACCGCGCTAGCAGGACCAATAGCAGATTGTAAAAAACAAACTAAAATGAGAACTGTCTGTATGTAGTCTGTTTAACTTAGTTTGCCACTTATCTTAAAATGGTCCTGGGGTAGCCTACCTGCAGACAACGAGTGTCCTCAGAAGAGGTGGGAGAGAGAGCAAGATGAATGATTGATACTGATGTCTGTTCTTCATGCTTACATAACGTTACTCAGCATTGTGATGTCAGGAGTAATATTTATTCTATTGATATGTTAGGTTTGTTTCAAGTGAAATATTACTGAGTTTATATAGTGACTCTGCTAATGTTAACATGACTGTTGCTGCCATAGACTGTATAAAACTATATCTTGTGTTTTTTCCTAATCACCTGACCCTAAAGGAAAATGTCATGAAGTGAGGTGTCTGCATGTGTGTGTGTGGGAGAGAGAAGGGAGAGGGAGAGAGGGAGATGTTGGTCGAGAAAGTGTGTCTTATTAGTTACCATTAATGTCACTTGTAATGCTTCTGTGCAGTAATAGCTCTTTTTTTATTCTATTTCTGCATTATGTGATGTTCTTTGGACAGATATGTGACTACATTTTTTTTATTCAAATGTGACAAGAGAAACATTGCTACAATAACTTGCACCCGTTTAGAAATCTGTCATTACCAATAGCTGGAAAAAAAGTTTTCAATAGCGTGTCTGCTGCTGAAAATGTCTGGCCTATTGACATTTTCTGGTTTTAAAATCCAGCCCAATTGAATTTGTAATTGAATAGCCCTGGTATATGGTCTATATGTTGCTGTTAAGTAACAAGAAAATTGCAGTACAGACATGCCAAAGAAGGTCTGAAGTCATTTAAAAACTAGGGGTGTAAATCATCATTATCATCACAATACAATATCATATTGATTCTTTGGACAACAATACAATATTTTCCAACATTACAAAGCCTGCCACCATACAATTTCGATTTGATACGATTCAGGTGTCTGTGATCGATATTAGTCAATATTATCTGCCCGTATAACACAGTCTGTTACAGAAGAAGCTGCCACCCCTTTCTTTTTTGCTTCTGCCCATAAAACACATAAACAACACATAAATAATAAGTACAGTGAAGTTCACTTTAAACTGACTCCACTAACACAAATAAAAAAGCACATGGGATAAGTTCACCATCAGGGCTTTCTGTCAGAGAGACCTTTCTGGAAGAAATCTGCCCTGAAGGCAAACCTCTCCTAACAGCCATAAAACACAGATTAACAACAAGATCATCAGATCTTGATCAGATTCAACAAAATTATCACATTCAGCTCAGTAATAACTGTCAAGGATCATGGACAAAACAATTGTTTTTTTGCTAATCACCCATTATTAGCTTAAGCATGCTTACACTGCATAAATTAGCCTTGCAGCTTGCGGACATTTTTCCTCTTTTCATTGCTTAACTACGCCATAATCATTCTTACTCACCGGTGATTTAAGTCAATACATCTCCCGACTGAACAGCATGGTTGAATTTCAGCCTGCATGGTTTTTCAGCCAAACATTGTTAAAACAGAGCAGCTAATGTTGATTAAGCAAGAAGTTAGCAGAGTGAGACACTCGTCCAGGCAGGTAATGGTACGTCGTGTTTTATCTTGTAACGTCATTGTTTACATACGGCATATTGAGTTGATTCCTATTTTCTCCGAAATCCAAAATATTTCCACACTGCTGATTTACAGGTGAGTAAATAAGGTTATCCTCATCGTCTTTCTCTTGGATGTTTGCCATCTGCCTGCTGCTGTTTGACAGTGACACAGACTTTCAAAATAACAGCCTATGCTTAAGATGAAGATATGGATCTATGTTTTCACTTTTCATCGATGATATTGAATCGTTGATCATTAAAGCGATATATCGATCCCGATCGATGGATCGTTACACCCCTATTAAAAACAGTGCCACCATTCATTCACTCATCATGGGTTTGGTCACAATAAGTAACTACAAATACTGCCCCAAGGTTGTATGCTTCCATGCAGTACTCAAGTTTCTCTTATAGTTTACATCCATGTATGTGAAAACATGAATGCTTCACACAGATGAAGAACTACACAATCAGCACAGTTTGAAGGTGGACATCCAAGATTAGTGTTGATCTTGTTGATCAGTATCTGACCAAATGTCTCCCCTTCTGCTCCTGAGATATGACACTGAATAATGGCCAGAAAAGTGTTTTATGTAGAACATTATGACGTCACAGTGAAGTAGGGCTGTACTCAAATATTCGAATATTCGAATATTTGTTTCTAAGGGTAGGTATTCGTTATGAAAATTTGGTATTCGATATTCGTTTTTTTATTTATTTACTTAGTTACTATTTTTTTTTTTTTTTTTTATCAATAAAAATCAAAACTTTTAAATTGCATTGTTAAAAATGTGAAAATATAGTATCGCCTACCAACAGAGCTTGTGGGCACGGCACGTTTGAGCGCATCCGTCTGAGGCTGTGGATCAATGACAAGTTTTACCACTTTATCACTATTCCCTCTAACTTGTAGCTATTTTTTCATTATCTTTTGAATTTAATATGAATTATGGAACTGTTTTTGTCAGCGTTTGTTTCCTCCGTTTTGTACAATAAATTATTGTTTAAAGTTTCAACAAGTTTCTTTTGGAGTGCGTGACACATGTGTGTTTTGAAAACGACCGCGGACTGTCACCTGCTCAACGCATCATTACCTTTGGATGCCATGACAGTAATAGTCAATAATGTCAAAATGTCATTTACAGACCGATTTAACAGATGATCACTGCTGCCCAACCCCCAGGTCCATTTGCGGGTCCCGTGGGTCTCGCGGGTTACGGGTCGACCCTCGCATCACTACTCAGCTCAGTCTATAAAGGCTGTACACAACAGTAGACACTATATTCTATTCAGGCCGGCAGAACCAGCAGCGCATCAGCTCTACAGTGCACGGCACTGCTGATTAACCATTTTATTGCAGCACAGAGTGTCTGCCAGCAACCAATTACTTGCAGAGGCTTCCTACAACTTGTTTCAACGGTTCCGATTTAATCAGAAGACAAATTAAACAGGATGACTAGCCAATGTGAAAATCAAAAGAAAGCATAGAATAATGTACTGAAGGAGACTGTTGTGCCATCACATTTTTTTGTGGTTTGAGAGCAAAGAAACGGTCGCTGCTGTGCAAAACTCTGCAATAGGTCCGAAAAAACCCCGGAGGAGTGCTTCGCAAGGAGTCTTTGAAAGGAGCCGAGCCTGGCGTAAAACCGGAGAGAGCAGGCAGCATGGCCGCAGCACGGCTGCAGCACCCCCCGCCTGCCCGCCGCGAACGAATATTCGAATATTGGTTATAAATTCTGCCGAAGGTCTGAATGTTAAAAAAATGGTATTCGGGACAGCCCTACAGTGAAGATGACCTTTGGGACATAAAATCTCATCACTTCATAATTTTATCCTATTAGACATTTGTGTGAAAATTTGTCATAATGAGCATAAGAATTCACAATGAAGAGACACTTCTTAAATGCTCTACAGCGTGTCTACTGGGATCACTAGCATTATCTTAAGTGGCTGCAATCAGCTTTGGTGGCCGTGTCAGAGCAGTAATCTGGTGCAGCTGGGCCCGGTGAAATCCAGGGGTTACGGCTGGGACAAATGTTGTACCACTGTATCAGCACCACTATCATGGCCACTTTATCAGAATTCCAGAGTTCGGAGCTGACCTTCTCCCAGTTGTTTTTTAAGTGTGTATGAGGCCTAAAATATTGTCTGTGGGAGAAATCTCTGGGTAGAGCTGCAATAAAACTATAAAGTTCTTCTCTTTATTTACCATGGACTAATATTTACAGAAGACAGGGAAGATATCTACTGGCTATAATCGGCTGTTCCTTATCACATGATATGGGGTGTGTGGTGCTGCATTCCAAAAGTTGAACTTTGTCTATCTCAGGGCACAGACATTGCACCCTGAAAAACAGCCACATGGAAACCCCTGCCTGACATCCCTCACTTTTGAGCATGCCTTCCTTGTGTGTTCAAAGTCTAGGAGGGAAAATACTTTTGCTACCTAGTGTAGTTGTAATGACACAGTGGTGCAGCTTATTGCCTTTGAACTCACCCTGATCCAAAACCTGCTCTGTCTTGCTTGAATCCAGAAGCTGTCTGTGATCTTGATGATCTTCGGGGGGGAAAAAACAAAGTTAAGTTAAAAACGGGTTCTTTTTGAAAAATGTAAATGATGTAAGCTAATTTTAATAAGACAAGGAGGCACACATGGAGTAAAGTATAAAAAGCAAGTGTGTACATTAGCATACATTAACTTTCTCCCAAACAGAAAAATAAAAAGCTAGTAAATGCTAAACTGAATAACTATAGGTTAGCGGTATTCAACATAAACAATATGTGATGCTTTTGTACCTGTTGAGTGGCCCATATGCATCATAGAGTTCATGTCAGCTGGACTAACAGCCACAGGAACATTGGCCTCAGCTGGAATATGCTCAAACAGCTCTTTGGAGCCAGGCTCCATGCAGTTCATGTAGGGGATGGCGTGTTTGCTGTCCATGTAGTACATTATGTAGAAGTTGCACATTTCATCAGCAGAGGTACCACTGCAGACAACACAGAAAAGTACCTGGTTATGAATACACCACTCATACATAACTAGAATTTCCGCCCTGCGGTTGTATGCCACTGCACACCAGTTTCTCTTAGAGTTTACTTCCACGTCTGCGGACACATGGATGCTTCACATACATCTTCTCCCCAACAGCACAGAAGATCTATATGATCAGCACAGTTTCAAGGTGGACACCCAAGGTTGGAGTCACCAATTCAGTATTTGACCAAATGTCTCCGCATCTGTTCCTGAGATATGACACTGAATAATGGCCAGAAAAGTGTTTTATGCAGAACATTATGATGTCACACTGACCTTTGACCTTCAACCACAAAATTCTAATCAGTTTATTCTTTAGTTCAACTGGACGTTTGTGTCAAATTTAAAGCATTTCCCTTTAAGTGTACTTGAGATATAGTGTTCATGAGATTGAGAAAGATGCAAGGTCACAGGGACCTTTGACTAGGCTTGTGCCGATTTCCGGTTTAACCGGTTCGGTCCGGTTTAAGAGCTCCACCCGGTTTAATTCACGTCAACCGGATAAACCAGAGGAGGAAAAAAAGCAAAAAAAAAAAAGCTTTTCACATTGGCGGCGTGTCAAGGCACTATATTCAACTTATCTTGCATTGTAATATGCATTATGACAACTTAATAAGGTTTATGTTTGTTTATAAATGAAGTGGAGGAGCCTACAAGTGTTTTGTTTAGTTTGTCTCAGAGGCTTCAGAGGGACTCTGCAGCTCCGCTGTCTGCTGCTGCTGCTGCAAGAGATCAAATTTCATTGGGGGCGGGGAAAAGTGTGAGGGAGTCAGCAGTCATTCAGTTTGTTGCCCTAGTAACCTGTTTCCACTGAAGAGGTTCCTGGTACTATTTGGGGGGCTGGAACTACTGTCATTACCTGCATCTCTCTCTCTCTCTCTCTCTCTCTCTCTCTCTCATTGTGTCATATGGATTACTGTTAATTTATTATGCTGATCTGATACTGTTAATTTATTATGCTGATCTGTTCTGTACGACATCTATTGCACATCTGTACAGAATTCAGTACAACTATACAGCGCACTGAGTTTCTCGTAAATGTTCATTTCTGTTAGACAATCCGCTTACGTTACTTCTGCTGTAGAGCTATAAATTAATTGTCAATAATCTGTCTAACTTGTTATAATGAAGACTGAAATATCACTGCCATGATGGTTTGCAGCTACATGTAATATTAGTGGCACGGGCTCTATTAATAGCCACAGCTGTGCGTAATGGTCGCGCGTAATGACAGCTGTTCTGTCAGAGAACCACGCTGGTGTGAGACAGTCTGTAAAACTTCACTTCTTCTCTGCTGTATTTTTAACTGACAGATCTAATGAGTGGTGGAGCGGGCACAGATATCGATATGCAAACTGATTGAAGGGTGTTTCTGCATCAAATTGTGTCTTACTGTGTGAGACTACACAAAGCTTGTGCATGTGCGCCCACCTCCACAATGACTGAGATATACTGTAAGTGCATGTGGGGCTTTATGAATTCATAAGCTCCATAAGTTTAATATCTGGGCGTAAAGGAACCTTCAGATAACTTTATCAAGCAGCCAGTGGGTCAGTGAGCTGGCTAACAGTGGTTCTGAGCGGAGTCTCCGTAATTACACTGAACAAAACTATAAACGCAACACTTTTGTTTTTGCTCCCATTTTTCATGAGCTGAACTCAAAGATCTAAAACATTTTCTATATACACAAAAGACCATTTCTCACAAATATTGTTCACAAATCTGTCTAAATCTGTGTTAGTGAGCACTTCTCCTTTGCCGAGATAATCCATCCCACCTCACAGGTGTGGCATATCAAGATGCTGATTAGACAGCATGAATATTGCACAGGTGTGCCTTAGGCTGGCCACAATAAAAGGCCACTCTGAAATGTGCAGTTTTGCTTTATTGGGGGGGTCTGGGGGGGTCAGAAAACCAGTCAGTATCTGGTGTGACCACCATTTGCCTCACGCAGTGCAACACATCTCCTTCGCATAGAGTTGATCAGGTTGTTGATTGTGGCCTGTGGAATGTTGGTCCACTCCTCTTCAATGGCTGTGCGAAGTTGCTGGATATTGGCAGGAACTGGAACACGCTGTCGTATACGCCGATCCAGAGCATCCCAAACATGCTCAATGGGTGACATGTCCGGTGAGTATGCTGGCCATGCAAGAACTGGGATGTTTTCAGCTTCCAGGAATTGTGTACAGATCCTTGCAACATGGGGCCGTGCATTATCATGCTGCAACATGAGGTGATGGTCGTGGATGAATGGCACAACAATGGGCCTCAGGATCTCGTCACGGTATCTCTGTGCATTCAAAATGCCATCAATAAAATGCACCTGTGTTCGTTGTCCATAACATACGCCTGCCCATACCATAACCCCACCGCCACCATGGGCCACTCGATCCACAACGTTGACATCAGCAAACCGCTCACCCACACGACGCCACACACGCTGTCTGCCATCTGCCCTGAACAGTGAAAACCGGGATTCATCCGTGAAGAGAACACCTCTCCAACGTGCCAGACGCCATCGAATGTGAGCATTTGCCCACTCAAGTCGGTTACGACGACGAACTGCAGTCAGGTCGAGACCCCGATGAGGACGACGAGCATGCAGATGAGCTTCCCTGAGACGGTTTCTGACAGTTTGTGCAGAAATTCTTTGGTTATGCAAACCGATTGTTGCAGCAGCTGTCCGGGTGGCTGGTCTCAGACGATCTTGGAGGTGAACATGCTGGATGTGGAGGTCCTGGGCTGGTGTGGTTACACGTGGTCTGTGGTTGTGAGGCCGGTTGGATGTACTGCCAAATTGTCTGAAACGCCTTTGGAGACGGCTTATGGTAGAGAAATGAACATTCAATTCACGGGCAACAGCTCTGGTGGACATTCCTGCAGTCAGCATGCCAATTGCACGCTCCCTCAAAACTTGTGTGATCTGTGGCATTGTGCTGTGTGATAAAACTGAACATTTTAGAGTGGCCTTTTATTGCGGCCAGCCTAAGGCACACCTGTGCAATAATCATGCTGTCTAATCAGCATCTTGATATGCCACACCTGTGAGGTGAGATGGATTATCTCGGCAAAGGAGAAGTGCTCACTAACACAGATTTAGACAGATTTGTGAACAATATTTGAGGGGAAATGGTCTTTTGTGTGTATAGAAAATGTTTTAGATCTTTGAGTTCAGCTCATGAAAAATGGGAGCAAAAACAAAAGTGTTGCGTTTATATTTTTGTTCAGTGTATGACAACGATGACGCTGAGTGACAGACCTGCCATAATGTGACATCTAATATTTCTCCAATATGTCTCGTTAAACTCTTTCCACAGAAATACGGGACAAACTGCATCCCGTACTGAATCAGTAAGGGACAGTACATTTTATTTTTCAATATGGGACGAGGGGCAATTTTGCCATCTCATGCCTTGGTGTGGCACTGGGGTCAGTCAAATCACTTATCCTCAGTTTTACTATCCTTACTTTTATCCAGACCTCTGCAGAAAAAGAGTCTGCTGCATTCCAGAGTTTTTCCTGGGGAAAGAGTTTGTAACTTTTATGGACACTACTGCGCTACTCGGTCAATTAATTAACTTCACTACTGAAAAGCTATTTGACTCAGAAAGTAGTGACGTCACCACGACACTAGTGAGAATGCTGTTAAATTCTTAAGGTCACACCTTGTAGTGAGCCATTTCCTAACTGATTATTTTTGACAGTGTGAGAAATAGCGGCGTAGCATGAGTGCATAAGAAATCAGTCATTTGCGTGACTAGTTGACAGCTCTGACGTTCAAAAAAGGAAACAAATTTGTTGCTCATTTGTCTCATTTCAGAGACTTTTCTAATTTTCTCTTTCATATATTAATATTGTCCTTAAATAAAGCTAAAGTAATTTCATGAAAACACGCGGTATTTCTTATCCAATTACTCGATTAATTGCTAGAATTATCGATAGAATACTCGATTACTAAAAGAATCAATAGCTGCAGCCCTTGTACAGAGGTACATATGGACGTATGTACGGACGTACAGTACAGGCCAAAAGTTTGGACACACCTTCTCATTCAATGCGTTTTCTTTATTTTCATGACTATTTACATTGTAGATTCTCACTGAAGGCATCAAAACTATGAATGAACACATGTGGAGTTATGTACTTAACAAAAAAAGGTGAAATAACTGAAAACATGTTTTATATTCTAGTTTCTTCAAAATAGCCACCCTTTGCTCTGATTACTGCTTTGCACACTCTTGGCATTCTCTCCATGAGCTTCAAGAGGTAGTCACCTGAAATGGTTTCCACTTCACAGGTGTGCCTTATCAGGGTTAATTAGTGGGATTTCTTGCTTTATCAATGGGGTTGGGACCATCAGTTGTGTTGTGCAGAAGTCAGGGTAATACATAATATATTATGAATATGATATCATAATATGAATTTTAACAGTTGTCCAATATTCATATTATGATATCATATTCATATATTATACATACAACCCAACAACACTGCTATCTCTGACGAGGAGGCATATAAAGTGGAGGAGCACAGCTCTATCTGTATCATTAACACCTGTCTAATACATTATCAAACTGTGACAGCTGCCTGTTGTTACCTTCAGAGCCCTGCCAATGAACTGGTAATATTCACTGGCTAGTGAGCACTGACAAGTTTAGTTTTAACTGTCAAATGCCATGTTCACTACATTCCTTGTTTCTCTTCGTTTTTCATTGTCTTTTTCTCACTGTTCTTTCAGGAGCTCCTGCTTTTTAGTGACGCATTCTGACTTAGCTAATCATGCTGCAGTTCATCCCACATGTTTAAACATTAGTGGGACTTGTGAGTTCTGCGAATCGTGCACCTGACCCACATCAGATGGCATGTTGAAATAGGTTGTATTGATAAAAAAATACATTTCTTTATCATGTTAGTACATATAACTTGTATTGTCAGTGATAGTTGGTAATTAAAGTGTTGTACTTAATCTCAGTTCAGGGTCAACCATAGACCTTTTCACAGGTAGTGGAGGAGCAAACACAAGCTCATATATTATTAAAGTAGTCTGTATAGAACCTAGAAGAAAGCACAGAAACTAAAAGGTACTTCTGAGTCATACAGTTTGGTGTAGAAATGCATTAGATGCTTTGGATTATATAACAGAACTCACCCAATATAAGTTTTGGAGGTTCTGCCCTCCCCACTAAACACACATCTGGCTGCAATGGTGTCACCATACTTCACATTCAACTCGCTGGCAGCAGGATAGAAAGCCTGGAGAGAAAACACATTCACTGCTGAGCAATGAGCAAACAGCACAATACATGAAAAACTGTTGTGATCAATGCATTATTGGTTTAATTCAGATGTATTAGTTACATGATCTAACCTAGTAATTATTAACTCCTTGAAAAACTGGGAACAACTTGGACATGCTTAGACGAATGCATATACCAGCGCTCTGATTTTGACTCATGTCTTTGTCAATCCCATGTGTCTGTCACCACGATTATGACACAAAGTGGTGATCAGTTCATTCAGAGATAAATCCCACTAATAAAGGGAGTGCATGATTAATATAATCCCAAATACCTATACATTACAGCTCGTTAAATTCAAGAGTAAATGGGAGAAAAATTTGTTCATTGAAATTTTGGAAGTGTTGGAGAATCCATCTTCATATATATGTATAAGGCATTTGGTGCTTAAAATGAACAAGAACAATAAAAAAAAAAGAGATAAACCATTACATAATACTCTGCTCAAAAAAAGAAGGGAACACTTAATTGTCACAGTATACCAAGTCAGTTACACTTCAGGGATATCAATCTGTCCATTTAGCAAGCTCAAGTGATTGTGAATCAGTTTTACCTTTGCTTTGGTGCAAATGAGAGTGACAACAGGTGGCAAAAGCAAGACAACCCCCAAAAAGGGAATGGTTTTACATGTGGTGGCCACAGACAGTTGCTCTCTCCTTATCCCTCCTGACTGATTCTTCTCTAGTTTTGTTTTCTGCAAGTGTCCTTGTCACTACTGTTAGCATGAGGCAGTACCTGCAGCCCAGTCAGGTTGCACAGGTAGTCCAGCTCCTCCAGGATGGCACATCCATTCATGCTGTCACAAGAGGGTCTGCTGTGTCTCCCAGCACAGTCTCAAGAGCATAGAGGAGATACCAGGGGACTGGCCGTTACAAGAGGAGAGCTGGACGAGGCCGTAGAAGGGCAGTAGAATATGCTCCTCTGTGAGAGGAGGAACAGGAAGAGCACTGCCAGAGCCCTACAAAATGACCTCCAGCAGGCTACTGGTGTGCGTGTTTGCGATCAAACTGTCAGACACAGACTCCATGAGGATGGCATGACTGTCCGACGTCCTCTAGTGGGACCTGTGTACACAGCCCAGCACCGTACAACTCCACTGGCATATGCCAGAGAATACCAGCATTGGCAGGTCTGCCATTGGTGCCCTCCTCTCTTTACAGATGAGAGCAGGTTCACACTGAGCACATGTGACAGGTGTGAAAGAATCTGGGGACGCCGTGGTGAATATCATGCTTCCTGTAACATCATCCAGAATTAGTGGTTTGGCAGTGGGTCAGTGATGGTCTGGGGATGCATATCCTTGGAGGATCACACAGACCTCCATGTCATAGCCAACAGTACCCTGACTGCTGTTAGATACTGGGATGAAATCCTCAGAGTGATTGTCAGACCTTACGCTGGTGCTGTGGGCCTTGGGTTACTCCTGATGCAGGACAATGCCTGGCTCCATGTGGCAAGAATGTGTAGGCAGTTCCTGGATGATGAAGGCATTAATGCCATTGACTGATCCTCTCGTTCCCCTGACCTAAATCCAGTTGAGCACCTATGAGACTTATTGTTTATGTGTTGGTGCATCCAACGCCACCAAGTACTGCCACAGACTGTCATAGAGCTCACTGATGCCGTGATCCAGATCTAGGAGGAGATCCCCCTAGAGATCCGCCAACTCATCTGGAGTGTATACAGGCACCTGGGAGCCATACACATTACTAAGTCACATTATGAGTTGCCATGATAAAATTCATACAAGTTGGGTCAGCCTGTGATTTCAATTTGTTACTTTGATTTTCGGTGTGACTTTGAATTCAGCCCTCAGTGGGTTGATGAAACAAATTACAAATTACACAATGTACATCAGTAAAGATTTTCAACTTGAATATTTCTGACATTTCATTTAAGTGTTCCCTTAATTTTTTTGAACAGTGTAGTTTTAATTTTGTTGGGGTCATTAGATGCATCTTCACAACGTTTGTTTTGTCTGACCAACAGTCGAAAACCCAAACAGATTCAAATTATAACTATAGAACACTGAAAAATCATCATATTGGAAAAGATGGAACCAGACAAACGGGGGGAACGGCGCATGCTCTGTTGCGACGACATTGCCCATACGTTTGTTAAACAAAAGAATGAAAAGATTGTAACTGTGTGGAATGGATATGTGTATGGTGGCGGGTATACGTCTGTGGTATTGATGTCTTTGTAACTTGTGAAGTTGCCTGTGTAATGTATGTCTATTCTCGGGGCTGTACGGAATGTGAAAATAATTCTCCTGAATAGGACAATAAACCTATCTATCTATCTTAAATCTGTCATTTTGCTTAAATGGTTGATCAGTTATCAGATTGTTTGATTAAAGTAACTGTTTGACATTTGGTCAATTTGTTTTCTTGCCAAATTAGATGAGGAGATGGATCGCACTCTCATATCTGTTTGCTAAATATGAAGCTGGAGCTATTAGCCAATTAGCTTAGCTTGGCACAAAGAGTAGAAACACAGCGAAACAACTCTGTCCAAAGGTAACACTTCAGACAAAGGACATTTTGGTTTTCATATGGATTACACAAATGTGACATTAAGTGATAAATAGTGAGCCTTGGAGGAGTTTAGCTGTTTCCAGTAATTATCCTAACTATTATGATAACTCCCCAGCCATTCAGCGGCAGGGACACCACAAACATGTCAGTTTTTAATTACCTTCTGATGCAATAATGTACCTGTGGAAGCTGAGGTGACTGTCTCCCAATAAGGCTCCACTTCCCGTCTCGGATCCTGTAGCCACTGACCACTTGACCTGTGATAGGAACACCCATCCAGGTTAAAACTGCACTGATAAACGTTACTCTGAACCGGACCGCTAAATTTTCTGGTTTGACTCACCGAGATGGTGTGTGTGGGTCCTGAAGGCAAACGGGTAGATGGGATATGAAGTGTAGTCACAGGCGATGTCTGCATTTGTAACTAACAAAAGAAAATGAAGGAAAGTCAAGTCAGGCTCAATCTGTGATCACTGTACAGCCCCAGTTCTGGCCCTCCTGTCCTTAGAAGCATTCCAACACAACATTTGTATTTGGACTATATGGACTCAGACAGTTTGGGCAGAAAGTGTGCTACAATTCTGCCTTAAAGGGATAGTTCACTCCCAAATAAAAAATACATTTTTTAATTTTTTTTTTTTTTACCTGTACCCCAATACCATCGTAAACACTATACTCTGGTGAAATGTAAGGAAGGTATGAAGGCATAAAAAAAATAGATATCGCCCAAGCCTGTAATCAGCTCTATGCTGATGTAAATTATGTGTGTGATACCCATGCTGCCATTTTGCCAAAGCTATTTCTAATGTCTGGAAGACAAGCAATGTCAATTACAATCTTAAACTGCACAGCAGCTCTCAAACGTTTATGGATAGTTGTTTTTCCCTGCCTTGTTCGAGAAAAAAAAAGAACTTAAACAGAAACAATGGCTTGTCAATAAAGGCTGTCTCCCAGAAAAGCCTATAAGAGATCTATGAGCTTGACCAATTTACATCCAGGAAAAATATGAAACATACCTCTTTTTCCTGGAAGGATAACTGTATCCACAGACATGAGCAGGTATATGCCAGCAATGAATGGCTGCCTTTAAGGAGGGCAAAAAGAGATTTAGTTAGAGGGTAGGAAGATGTTGTTTGGTCACATTTAAACATTAAACACTAGTCCCCTGACATTTTCTTTCTAGTCCTTTTTAGTCTATATGTGCATTCTTCCAGTGCTCCAAAAGGAAACACAGCCTTATTTCCACCAAGCAGTCCAGTTCAGTACACTTCAGTTTGGTACACAATAGTAGGCTTATTTTTTACATTGTCAAAAGTTGTGGATGGTACCAACAAAACCGTATCTTACTATCCCAGTTTTTGGTCACCCCTCTGTTGGGGTACCTAGCACACTGATCCAGTTCTAAAAGGACTCTTGCTCAGGACTGAGTTGTGGCTGGTTTTGAAGCTTATGTAACCACTGTTCATACCGTGGCAAGGTTTACGTCCATTAGTAAACTATAACTATAAAATGAAAGGATGTTTTACTGCATCTTCATCTTTATTAGTTAACAGTTAGCAGCTGTAGACTGAGAAACAATAATTTAATTCACTGTGCCAACTGGTGGCTACCGCTAACTTTAAAGGTGGCATTTTTTTCTGTTACTCAGTGCATGAGATGACAAAATGAATCAATCAACACACTTTAAATGTCAAAATGACAACTTTGACCATTCCATTAGTTTTATTGACTCTCTTGGATGACATACACTTGCTGATTGGATCTTTAAGCATTAAAAAAATGTATATGAATTTCAACCACATTATGTGAACTGCAAATATTTTTATCGCCACTTGGAGAAAAAATGTGGCAGAGCATCGTTCCGGTACGCTGTGGCACCACTAAACCCCTGCTCTTGCCTTAAAAGCACTCAATGCACAAACCTGCTATTTTTTAAATATCTCATGGAGAGACTCTCCTGCATTGGGTTGGGCATCCGGCGGCTAACCCAAAAAAGCTGTATAACAGGTAAAAATATTATGTATGTATAGATTCATGGGTATGGGCATGGGATAAAGATAATCTGTACGCCGGCGGGCAGTGTGTGAGAACAAAGACATATTTTTCATTTTTCAGAATAAAACAAATGAAAAGATGTGCAGCATCAGTGTAATATTTTGACATTTAAATCACTATTATCAAGTCGCAATTTCAGCACCATGGTGTGCAGCCAGTGAAAGAGACGTTTCCTCCACTGGATTTGTAATTCAAGAACAGAGAACCCATCTTAATGTGAGTGACTGTAGCCTGTGTGTGTTTAATAATGGGCGGATGCAGGTTTTCAAAAACAGGCCCATGAAAGACTGACTTTTACTCCAGTCTGTTCTTTCTTGTTCTGAAAATGTTGGAATTCAACCCTGTTCTGTAGATGATAAACAAGGTGCAGATGTTCGTTTGCGTCATTGGTGAAGAGGAATACATCAAGTGCTGGACGGAGCAGTGAGTGACAACAACTACAACTACATTGAGAAGTACTGTCCGCGGTGATAATGCTAAACACATCTACTTTCTAGGTACATGTTCGTATGGGTTACTTTTGGTTCGAAAGGTACTGTACCAAAAGTTTTTGATGGAAAGGTGACTGTATATAGTTGAATCAGGGAGATAAGGCTAAGCACCATGCAGCTATTTTTTTATACAGGCACTAAATGTCACAGTCCCCTCTACTTGTTACACTGCCTGGCCAAAAAAAAAGTCACCACCAAAAAAAAAGGTCATACACTCTAATATTTCGTTGGATCGCCTTTAGCTTTGATTACGGCACGCATTCGCTGTGGCATTGTTTCGATAAGCTTCTGCAATGTCACAAGATTTATTTCCATCCAGTGTTGCATTAATTTTTCACCAAGATCTTGCATTGATGATGGTAGAGTCTGACCGCTGTGCAAAGCCTTCTCCAGCACATCCCAAATATTCTCAATGGGGTTAAGGTCTGGACTCTGTGGTGGCCAATCCATGTGTGAAAATGATGTCTCATGCTCCCTGAACCAGTCTTTCACAATTTGAGCCCGATGAATCCTGCCATTGTCATCTTGGAATATGCCCGTGCCATCAGGGAAGAAAAAATCCATTGATGGAATAACCTGGTCATTCAGTATATTCAGGTAGTCAGCTGACCTCATTCTTTGAGCACATACTGTTGCTGAACCTAGACCTGACCAACTGCAGCAACCCCAGATCATAACACTGCCCCCACAGGCTTGTACAGTAGGCACTAGGCATGATGGGTGCATCACTTCATCTGCCTCTCTTCTTACCCTGATGCGCCCATCACTCTGGAACAGGGTAAATCTGGACTCATCAGACCACATGACCTTCTTCCATTGCTCCAGAGTCCAATCTTTATGCTCCCTAGCAAATTGAAGCCTTTTTTTCCGGTTAGCCTCACTGATTAGTGGTTTTCTTAAGGCTACACAGCTGTTCAGTCCCAATCCCTTGAGTTCCCTTCGCATTGTGTGTGTGGAAATGCTCTTACTTTCACTATTAAACATAGCCCTGAGTTCTACTGTTGTTTTTCTTCGATTTGATCTCACCAAACGTTTAAGTGATCGCCGATCACGATCATTGAGGATTTTTTTCCGGCCACATTTCTTCCTCGAAGACGATGGGTCCCCACTATCCTTCCAGTTTTTAATAATGCGTTGGACAGTTCTTAACCCAATTTTTGTAGTTTTTGCAATCTCCTTAGATGTTTTCTCTGCTTGATGCATGCCAATGATTTGACCCTTCTCAAACAGACTAACATCTTTTCCACGACCACGGGATGTGTCTTTCGACATGGTTGTTTAGGAAATGAGAAGCAACTCATTGCACCAGTTGGGGTTAAATAACTTGTTGCCAGCTGAAAGATAATTGCCCATGCAGTAATTATCCAATAGGAGGCTCGTACCTATTTGCTTAGTTAAATCCAGGTGGCGACTTTTTTTTTGGCCAGGCAGTGTATATCAGCATGCAAGAAAAAATTTGATGCTTTTAAGTAAATACTTACAGTTTGGTTGTCATTCTTAAGGTAAGTCCTGAGCAGTCTCTATGATGGTCTGAAAAAGAAAAAAACAATAAAATCAAACTTTTTTCACCACCAACAATTTTAATTGAAAGTCAGACCTTTTTTTTAATCTGAATGAGCACTATATTCACCCAAGTTGATACAGTGGTGCTCAGTTTAGCCTGTTAGCATGCTCCTAATCTAAGCATCTCCTAATTTGCACTACACACATATTGTGTGCTGAGGCTGAATGTTATTAGTTTGCAGGTATTTGGTCATAAACCAAGTATTGGGCAGACAGAAAACGAGGCCTGATGGTGGCCCGGGATGACAATTTATTAGAATTAATCCTGAGCAGGGCATAAAGTTGAGTACAAACTTTCATGGCAATCCAGTTTTTGTTGAGACATGTCACTCAAACCCACAAATGTGGAGCTCATGTTGTTGAATTTACATGATGAGACATGTTGGATGATTTTGTTGCTCTGGACAATACTATCAGGGTGGCCAGCTCTCACACACTGATTTTAAGACTTATGCAGTTGACATCACTCCAGTTAGAGATTTCACACAGAACAGATGTCTGGTGTATTTACATGTTGAAAAGAACCTTTCCCAGCACGAATAGCCGTAACCACCAAAAACAGTCCAAAGCCAGTTGGAGCACACAGAGTCACAGGCACAGTCATCTTCGCCAATGTGATCCACTTGCAACTCTGATCCATAACATCTTTTGAAAATAGCTTGTATTGCTTATCAACTTGCAGGATCTACTGGCGGCAATATGTGATGCATTTGATTTAATGACTTGGGATGGGATAAAAATGAATCACCACGAAGGGGGTATATAAAAAGCAGAGAGGGAGGAAATCCCCTCCATCCCCTCCCCAGTAATTAGCATCCATGGTATCACCAAAATCATTAGGGATTTATCCTCTGGAAAACATGAAGATCTGGACCAAATTTTGTGCCTACCCATCCAGTAGATGTTGGCATATTTAAGAGGGTCAAAACTCCAGCAGCACTTAAAGTATATGAAACAACTTTACTGTAAGACCTGACAATGCAGTCTTACAATACAGTTGTTCTATAGACCACAAGACTTCTTCCCCCTCTGCATGCACCTTGGAGGTAGGTGAGGTTGTGCCAAACAAAGGTTACCAGGGCTCTCATTTATAACCACTGAAAACAAGGTCTGAAAGAGGCATATGGCACTTCCCACGCAAAAGTTGTGATCAACTCAAACAGACTTGATGGGAGAAACCTTGACCCATGCTTACAAACATTTTGGAGGCAGGAAATTGGCGACGCAGATGGTGAGGTAGGAGCCTGATTGCAAAACCTGTCTGATAGGTTTTGGCACTCGTCATTTTTGGCTTTTGTCCATCTGCCCGTTTTTAGTATAAATCCTATGCATTGCCTTACAAATGAGACCCCATAGGCCTGTACTTCAACGCAGGATTTGGACTTAGCGAGGTAACTTCAGGATTAACTCTGGGTTTTTAGTACAAAGTTGGTTCTCTTTTTACAGGGATAAATCACTGTGGTAACTTATGCTAAACAGCTAACCTGCTCCAGAGCAGGTTATTTTCAGAGTATCAGATCACAGCCTTTTAAAACTAAGCTTCTAACAAAATCAGAGATTGTTTACACACGAAACACATGATTTTAATTTATGCAAAGTTTATTTTAATATACAGTGATAGTGTTGCTATTTTACACTCTGATTCCATCACTGCAGCTCAGAAAAACATGAGACGCCTGTGTGATGAGAACTAGAGAGAAAAGAGACCATTTTATTGTAAAAAATAATCCACACACTGACTCACTGAATACAGTTATTATAAATGCAACATTTGGGTTAGATAGACCTCATCAGTCATTAATTAGGCTAGTTTTCCGCCCTTTACTTCAGTAACAGAAACAATCTGGTTTTACTCTAACATGTTTTATGTGACATATTTAGAGTAGTTTCATCATTATCCAACTAAATAGCAAAAAATACTGTATACTAATGTCACATATGATACCTACACGTAATTCATGTCTTGGCCAATGGTGAAATTTGGATAGTATTTTCAATGTTTCTACATTTTCCGTTATAAACCTCTTGTAGTTGGAATTATTTTTTCACTCCTGAATCTTTCCAGATCTTTACTGAATTAGATGTAACTCATAACATAAATAATCTGTATAAAACAATGTTAATACTTTAACTTCCAATAGGACTCACCTCTGAAAGCACTGGCATCTCCATAATGAATCTGCAGCACAAAGTGGGTCATTCCTGAATTCCTTCCAACTTTAAAACCAACGTCTGATGAGACAACAGAGAGAAGAACAGAGGTCAGAGAGACAAGAGACCACATGGAGATGGAAACAACTGAGGGACAAAAGATAGATAGATGTATGAGATCCTCTTCCCTTTTAATATGTCTTGGTGTGTCAAACCAGCAAAGCAGCAGCCATTAGCCTGTTATTGAGCTTAACTATGACAATGAAAGCTGTAAGAAAGCTAATGGATATTCAAGACATTTGTGGATAGAGTCAAGACGAGTTGAACAGCTTTCAATTTGGGCTGGTGAAAGCATAACTTGGCAATTCATCCGAGCCATTTATGAAGCAATGGCTGAGCAAATGGTGAAAAACGGCTATAATCTTTCAGTTGTTTGAGCTGGACAGAGTGATCTAATCTTAATCCGATCTTAAAATGGACACTGGAGACTTGGGGTGGGCCATATTGCCCTAAAATAATATCACAATATTTCAGGGTATTTTTGTGATAACAATATTCTTGACAATATGACAAAATATTTCATTGTTAATTTAAGAACATATAATTGCAACAAAATATGTGATATAGTTTTACATGTCAAACGTTTGCCTCAAAATATTCAGTAAAACTGGAAAAAAAAAAAGTTTGTGAACAACAGTAACTCAGAGTGAGATTCAGATTCTGTATACAATATTAATAGTACAACAAAAAAATGTACCACTAATTACACATTTAAACAGTTCTCCGTCAATTAAAAAAATGTACCCTGGGATCTAAATCAACAGGTGATTTGGTTCTCTTTATGCTCTGCCATTTCTCCTCTAATCATCACACTGTAACCTGTGACAGGCTGCTGTATAACTATTGCACATTCTCATATATGTAGTTTTTTGTCAAGTCACGAGCAGTTTATCACAAAAGGTTTATCACAAAATCACTTGACGAAACTGACTACTGTGTGCACAAGGCTTGTGAGGAGAGGGAGAGACGCTTTGCTGCTGCCAGAGGAGCTGCTGAATGAGTTCCCTCTGAGCGGAAAGTCGCTAAAAAAGTCTGAGAAGTCTGGGGCTGTTCATAAAATAAAACAAAACTCCACAATTTATTCCACACTAAGTCTGTAATAATTTTGCTTTCAGCTATGCTTGTTGTTGCTGTGGGTAACAGCATGAAGTCAACATATCAGCGAGTCGAAATATTGCGAAGTATCACAATATGAATTTTTCATATTAAAAATTATACCAGTATTATCGTGAACAATGTGATATGGCACACCACTACTGGAGGCAAATATTAATACCAGGTGTAAATGTAATCAGGTTAAATCATATCTAGATACAATCTGGATACCAGACACAATTTAATGCAAGGCATAAAGGAGGTCTGACTGTACATAAAACCTATACTTGGCTAATCAGGATCTGTCTTTACCTCATGTATTTTCAGTGGAACTACTTTCATACTAAAGAAACAGTTCCTATGAAAACTGTAAACTGTAAGGTTGGAGGATTATGAGATTAAGGGACACTGTTTCTGGAAAGACATATGCTGCTTTCAGTAAAATAAGCACCAGAAAACAAATCCCATTTGCCTCCATTGTATTGGGGAGGATGGAAAAATCTCAGTAACACATATCTCAAAACTTGGGGTGTAATGATACATTGATCTGGATCGATATATCGAATCAATGATGAACAATCCAATGTTAATGATGCAAAGTGAAAACGCTGATACAAATTATATTATATTGTTTCATATCAATCACAGGCCCCAGTACTGAATCGTAAGGAAATTATATAATGGAAGACTTTGTAATATCAGCAAATATAGTATCGTTGTCCAAAGTATTCATATATCATGATGAAACTTGTGATTAACACAATTAAATATACAACAAACAACAAACTAAGCACAAAAGCTCAAACAAATTCCTAAAAGAACCCAAGTCTTTTGTCTGTAATGTACAATGTGGCTTAATGTGTAATGTGAATTACCTAAAAACAGTATAAAAAGTATATTAAGGGGCGTCAGTAGCTTAGTGGATAGAGTAGACGCCCCATGTACAAGGCTGTTGCTGCAGCAGCCCGGGTTCGACTCAAGCCTGTGGCTCTTTGCTGTATGTCATTCCCTCTCTCGTTCTCCCCCCTTCACACTTGAGTTTCCTATCAATTAAAGCAACACTTACCTTTCTGGAAATTTTACACTTTTCTTTGTTTAGGTTAAAATGCTATTAATAAGCTGATGGCACACTAAAATGTAAGTGAATCCCACCAGAAATAAAAACTCATAATTATACCATTCTCATATGGTTCCAAGAAAACTCTAACCAATTATTGCATTTGGACCGAATGCAATGATTGGTTGAAGTTTTCTCCTGTCCTGTCTGTCTTGCCCACGTGGAGGCCTCTGACTAACGTAACCGCTCGTGTAAGTATATTAAACAGTCTAATAGCATCTGGCAGGAAGGACTTCCTACAGCATTCAGTCCAGTTAGGACATGGTCAAACAGAAAGTGTTTTAGCAGCTGGAGGCTCCTTTTTGTGATTGTTTTAAATAAGAATGAAGCTTTTTGCTCACTGTTTTTGCATTGCTACACACCTCAATTTTCTTCTTTTTTTCTGCACCCAACAAACTATTTGCTGACAGCCTCTCATCCTCAACCAGAGATACAGCAATTACCCTCTGCCTCTCCATTTTAGTAACTAGATACTAATTAATGTGAAATAAAATAAATAAATAAACAGTAGATTGATTACACGGGGAGGAATGGGTGGGAGGTGATGCGGTGGTTGCCTGGCAACAATAAAAAGGCACAGCAAGCATTGTTTTTCTAGTGGCATTCAATTAAAAAAAAAGGTAGTGCGGAGCGCCTCACATTTTGGAACCTGCAAAAGACTTTCTGTGTGATCCGGCCTTAGGCTGGTGGACTTTTTCAGACAAATGGCAGCAATGTGACATGACTAGATACAACTTGAGGATCAGTGAATACTTATGACTCTTATTAACTCTAAACCAACCTGTTAAGAGACATACCTTTAGGTAATTTAGTAGGTGGTGCATTCCGAGCCCAGGCGTACATGATGGAGGCCTCATCCTCACAAGTGCCTTGTACACTGCCACAGTCCCTTAAGAGAGAGAACCAACACAATCATCACCACTTTAACAGCACTAACACCTGTCCCTTAGATGGAAAGAACACCTGCAGGCATGTCTATAACAAAAGACAGAATAAATAATACTGTTCTGGATTCTCAGACATCCAGGTCATGATTTTCTCAAAAAGATCAAGGGCAACTAAGCTTGCTTTGGACTAATGTTACTGTGCAAACCAAGTTTGTAAAGTAGTGAAAAAAAGAGGAGCACAATGCAGTAGATGTTAGATAATCAAATCTATATTAAAAATATCTTTTTGGCCTCAGTTATATATTTACACATTAACCACGCAAGCACTGTGGAGTCACGTGAGTCTAGTATTCTCTCTCCGTTCAGCTGCAACAACTCCAGAGAAAATATCTGTCTCTTTAGCTGCTAAATGCTCCACTATGTTCACCAACTGGTCTCTAAAGCCTTATTCTCCTGAGACTATTGTTACCTAGAGACCTCTAGTAATGTGTAATAATTGTGGAGGTGGAGGTCCTCTGTGATTTTAATCGTACACAATTCGGCAATTTTCACAATTTGTCAGTAAAAATCCGACCACAATTAACCTTCTATATTTCACAACAGAGGTCAGGTGATAATATAGAGTGCCCCACAAATGAGTCCTAAAACCAGGAAATCAGTTAGCATTTTACTACTCCCGGTTCCCTTGTCTCAAAGTCAAAAGGTTTTTTGAATGGGTTTTTGGTTAGAAACTTGAAATAAGGTCCGTGATTAACACAAGCTTGAGAGATTTTCACGTTTTTTTTCTACCACATAAACTACATCTGTATTCCCCACCCCTGAATTTTGAAGCCTTTACATGCCCTAAAAAAGGTGGTTGCTAACAAGTGGCTAAATGAGACTACAGAACATCATCACACCAAACATGGCTTTACAGCCTTGTTGTGACAGGTATGTGAAGTCATGTGACCTTGGTGTAATTCATTTACAGCCTAATGATAGTTTTTTACCTCTTGATATTGCATTTTGGCTTCAAAATTCATAAAAGTGGTGTTCATTTGTGAAGATTATTTTGCTGAACAATACATGTAAGTATCATAACGTTGTTCACCACCAAGTTTATTTTCTGAAAGAATCTAAAATCCAGTGGAAAAATCCCAAGGGAACCAGGGTAATGCTAGCTTCCCCGTTGGCCTACAGAAAAACATCATTCCTGTGGCACTCTATTTGTCCCATGTGAATTGGGATAACAGTGATTTGTGGCTGTATTTGGATTTTTTGGGGGTTTTTTGCACATCTTTCCCAACTGGGAATTATGGGGATTGCATTGGCGATTATAAATCAAAGTTTTGACAGCATTTTGGATACAAAATCAGGAGGTTCATCTCGCTACACAGCATGGAGACCCATACGCAAAAAGAAGGAGCTCAAATACATCAGAATAGCAAAATCTCAAAAGCAAATGAGATGAATGACATGCATGGCAGCATGCAGTAAGAACATTTTTCAACAGTTATGTTACACAAAGCCTTGACATCGTATCCAGTTAATTTGAGTAAAATATAGACTTGGTTCATCCCGTGCAAAGGTGCCACAGTTGGGGGATAATTTCTAAATCACGAGGTCCCCAAAAAACATTTGTCCCATGCAAAGAGGGCTTAACTGTGTCTGCCTGTTTATTTGTTTGGTGCTGAGCAGGTAGTGAACAGTGTGTATATCAGAGCTTTTACACTGAAATCAGCTGCCAGCTGCTGCTGTAGGTGGGGTAAATGAGAGTAAAGAGACTAAACCAAAACAGAAAAGATATCACAAAAAAAGCTCCACAGGCAGTTCCTTTTTACAGACAAAAAGTGGAACGGCCTACTTTTCAACAAGTTTTTTTTTTGTTTGTTTGTTTTTAAAGAGGAAATGACAAAGCAGTGGACTGCTTCTGTTAACCCCAAAGAGTTTGACATGTACTCATAGCTCTGAGGCTGTGGCTCAGAGACAGAGCGGGTTGTCCATTAATCTGAAGACTGGGGTTCGATTACCAGCTCCTCCAGTCTGCATGTCAAAGTATCCTTGGGCAAGATACTGAACCCCAAATTGCCCCCAATGGCTGTTCCATTGGCGTGTGAGTGTGTGAGTGGTTACTGAGTAGCAGGTGGCACCATGTATAGCAGTCTCGGCCACCAGTGTGTGAATGTGTGTGTGAATGGGTGAATGTGACTCAGCAGTGTAAAAGCTTTGAGTGGTCAAGAAGATTAGAAAGGCGCTGTACAAGTGCAGTCCAATACCATTTATTTTAATCAACTCTGGATTTTACTGTATGTACTACATTAATGGGATAGTGCACCCAAAAATGAAAATTCAGCCATTATCTACTCACCCATATGCCAAGGGAGGCTCTGGTGAAGTTTTAGAGTCCACACAACACTTACGGAGATCTGAGGGAGAAGTGGGTAGCAGCACAATTGTACACCTAATGGCTGACGGCGACCCAGATTAAAACATCCAAGAACAGAAATGAAACCATAAAATATCTCCATACTGGGGCGTTGGTGGCTTAGTGGTAGAGCAGGCGCCCCATGTACAAGGCTGTTGCCACAGCTGCCCGGGTGTGACTCCAGCCTGTGGACATTTGCTGCATGTCACTCCCTCTCTCTCTCCCCCTTTCACACTTGTCTGTCCTATCAAATAAAGGCTAAAAATGCCCCCAAAAATATCTTAAAAAAAAAAAATATCTCCATACTGCTCGTCCGTAGTGATCCAAGTGTCCCGAAGCCTTGACATATAAAGTTGTTTGGAAAAACGTCATCAGAACTCTGGTTTTAGCCTCATTGTAGCCAGTAGCTGTAACTGCCTCTGTGTACATTGAGCTGATGTGCGTGCGCTTGTGCGAAACCGTGAAACATGCACACCGCCTTTATGTGTGTTCATGTGCCATCGCTGGTCTTGCGTGCAAGCGTGCACACGTGAGCACGATCCACGGAGAGGCAGTTAGAGCTACAGGCTACAATGAGGCTAAAAACAGAGTTCAAATGACGTTTTTCCAAACAACTTTTTATGATGGGGCTTCAGGACACTTGGATCACTACAGACTAGCAGTATGGAGATATTTTATGGTTTCATTTCTGTGTTCTTGGACATTTAATCTGGGTCGCCATCAGCCATTAGGTGTACAGTTGTGCTGCTACCCACTTCTCCCTCGGATCTCCGTAAGTGTTCTGAGGACTCTAAAACTTCACCAGAGCCTCCCTCGGCATATGGGTGAGTAGATAATGGCTGAATTTTCATTTTTGGGTGCACTATCCCTTTAAACACTCACTGCTGTGTTTGGTGTACCACTAATACAATAAAAATCTGTGATGTCTGGACACTGCTGTGTAACCCTGCTAGAAGCTGAAACAGGATGTATTGAGGATACTGCCACTGTATGATTAGTAATTATGATGAAAGAGTCTGTGGAACAATGGCCCTGTGCTAAAATTAGACATTACCAGTAGCTGCTGGTAGACGCTGGAGTCTGACAGCCAAACAGGAGCATGTGATGAACTGTGTCCATACTGGCGTGAGGTATGAAGTCCACTGAGGGAGGAAAAGCACTGTGGTTAAAATATTGAATATTTAATGAAATGCTGAAGTTACTCAACATGGTTTTGGTATTAAGAATCAATTCTCTCTGACCATTTCTGTCTCAACTTGATTCTCTGTTTGAGCTAATTCGCACACAAGCTTTGGGCTGTGTCATGTGTCCCTCGGATCAAGGTCAGCAAAGTTCACAGCAGGACTAAGCACATTTTGCAGGCCTTTAGTGTGCAAACAGACCAATGTTTGAACACCACAGGGTCATCATCACAGTCAGAGTGGAGAAAAGAAGCAAGACGGGCACCTATATCCCTAAAACATGTTTACAGTGTGGGTAAAGCAAAAGTAATTATGTATTCTGATTTATCATGCCACAGAAAAACAAATTTAAATTATTTGAAAAATTGGCAAGTACATAAAATTTGTTTTAGAAATCATGGAAAAATGTAATACTCTCTGCTCTGAAACGCTGGGGACGTGTCCACTGAAGGCCATTCATGCCTATTCAATATGGTGGTGACATTAGCAGCAATGACACACAGCTGGTTGAAAATCGGCAAAGATTCCCTTAACCTTCCACCTTTTCTTCCCTCCTCTCTCTCTCAAATGCACATGCACAATAACTCTAACTTTACTATACTGCATAAAGTTGCCAGTTTACAGCAGTTGGCAGTTTTCTCTTAACAGCTGCTGTGGGTGTGGGTAGACTGTCCTATGTAACGTTAAATATCATAACTCATAAGTGAGCCAGGAGAAAAACTCTGAAGCTATGTGCTCTATTGTATATAAAGTGTAAGGGCGGGGTAATCATAAGGATGGCTCAAGTACATCATCAAGTCATGATTGCAGGACCGCCAGATAACTCTTGAAGACAAAAATGATTAAAAAAAAAGGCTGAATGGTCTCCCTCCACATATTTTCAACAAGTATTTTAGGTCATGTATATTGTGATTACAAACATATCTCTGATTTTACTTAACCCTTGGGGTGGTGGAAAAAAATTGATACAGGATAGTATTATGATACTTTTGTGTGGCAATATCGTATTGTCACACTGTGCCGAGTATCGATTTTTTAATTATATATATTATTCAATAACAAATTAAAATTTAGGTAGCCCACTAAAATAACATAATCAGTTGCTCTTTCAGTTCACTAGATACATTTTGCTGCAAAAAAAATGGCTGAGGTGAGATGAGCAAACTGAAATCTTTATCTTATTAGATAAAACAGATGTTAACAAAGTTTTCCTTTGGCGACATAATTTACAATTAAAATAAATAAACAAATAAATAGCAATATATTTTATTGCAACACTCAGCATATCTCAACATATTTAAAATCATCGTGATAAAAATCCTATTTAACCCGGACTTTAATAGAATGTAAAATAAAGCCCATATTGTGTATTTACACCGCATGATTTTTTAATGTCAATGAGTTTGAAAATATTTATTAATTAAAAAACATTTTTATACAACACAGGAATCATAAAGTAATATGTAAAGACAAATAAGCTGTGGCTCAGAGGTAGAGTGGGTTGTGCACTAATCGGCAGATCAATCGCTGGCTTCTTCAGTCTGTATGTTGAAGTGTCCTTGGGCAAGATACTGAACCCCAAATTACTCCCGATGGCTGTTCCATCGGTGCGTGAGAGCTTGTGAATGGTTACTGAGTAGCAGATGGCACCATGTGTGCTAGTGAATGTGTGAATGAGTGTGTCAATTAGGGCATTAACAGAAAAGTCGATTTGTCGATGTGTCGACGTCAGTGGCACAAGTCAACACCCCCTGGGAGGAGTCGACAAGTCGTGTGTTTTTTCCCTCCCTCTCTCTCGCTGTGTGCTTGTGTACGGAATGCAATCACTGCCTCTGATTATGCTGATACTTTGGAGCAGACTCTGCGAGGAATGTCCGCAGTCATTCGGGCTTTCATAGTTGAGCGCACTTCCGCGTTGTAGTTTCCTGTAAAAATGTCCGTGAAAAATCCCTGCGATGCGAAAAATACATGCCGAGCTGGTGCGCGCGCGGTCGTAAAATCTGACCTTTGCTCGCACAGGGCTTGTGGACGTCCGCTTTGAGTCCGCGTGGACCTCCGCAGAGTCCGTTCCGCGTACGTTCCGCCCGAGTATGTTCGGGCCTTGACAGACACACATCATATGTGTGGAGTTAGCCTACTTCACTTTCCTCCGCCGTGTCAATGTAATGACGTCATCAAATGACTTGTCGACTCGACTTTATTGACAGATAAGTCGACCTGAAAAAATTCAAAGTCGTTAATGCCCTAGTGTGAATGGGTGAATGTGACACGTAGTGTTAAAAGCGCTCTGAGCGGTCGTAGGACTAGAGAGGTGCTATACAAGTGCAGTCCATTACCATTTATCATTTATGACTACAGCTACTACTGTTTCTATGACTTCTACTACACTCCTCTACTTCTACCTTTACAATGTCTGCTTCAACTGGCGCTACTTCTATTACAACTTTACTTTTACTTACTGCTTTTAATTTGGCTTTCGTTCAGCAGTGTACAGCTGACCCATATCATCTCCAACTATTATTTAGTCTGTTTAGTTGCGGTTTACTTTATTTAGAGGGCTATATACTGTATGCTGTCTGTTAACTGAAAAAACATATACTCACCAATATATGCATCACGACTAGTAGGCACAGGAAATGCTGTGCACAGGTAAGTGTCCGACTGAAACAATAAAGAACACAATGATAACATTCATTACTGAATAACAGGAAATAGTCATCAATTGCTAAAATGTTTACCAGCATAACTTTAGGATTAATTCATTTTAAAAGGTTATTTAAGTTTTAACACAAACAGAGTTATGTATACAGTTTATGGATGTCATGTTGACTGGTGAGTGACATTCAGCACGGCAAACTCTGTCATGATAGTTCATGGGACGTCAGTAAGTATCATCAAACAACAGGAACGTATTTTTCACTAAGGCTATTCCCTATTTCCTTTGTTTTTTTTGGCATATTTGCTTAAAAATGCTTAAAAGGATCAATAGATTATCAAGACAGTTGCAGATTAATTTCCCATAAATTAACTAATTGTTTAGTTAAGTGATTAATGGTTTTAGCTCTAATGATGAAGTCTTGAAGTCAAAGGACTCAGTGGTATGTTTCAGAGAAATAGACTCACCCCAGCTGGGATGACACCAGGCATCTGAATATCCACAGAGAAATTGTGAGAGTTTGTTAAGACCGGCTTGGTCCTGGACACACATTCACCGGGATCTGACAGGACATTTTCCTGAGACCTAGGGTGTGGTCGAGAGAGAGTGAGAGAGTGAGAGAGAGAGAGAGAGAGAGAGAGAGAGAGAGAGAGAGTGAGTGAGTGAGAGAGAGAGAGAGTTGGATGTGATTAGAGCAGACAGGTGTCAGCAGGGGTTTTTTTTTGGGGTAGTTTTTCCTTATCCGCTGTGAGGGTCCTAAGGACAGAGGGATGTCATATGCTGTAAAGCCCTGTGAGGCAAATTGCGATTTGTGATATTGGGCTTTATAAATTATAAATATATAAATAAATTGATTGATTGATTGATTGATTGAGCAGTCAGAGGTCAGAGCACAGAAGAAATTAACAGTAAAAACTAAAATTGACAACATGGATTTAGGCCTAGTTTCAAAGCCAAACACGAGAGCACTGCTGAGTTGCATAAAATAAATGATACAGTGATAAAGAGACACTTGGAAAGAGACAGAAAAGTTGTGGTGAATTTCTGTTTGGTATAAATGTAATCCTGCATCCTATGACTAATGAATTAGCTTACTATATTAATTTCAGTGGAAATGAAGCGACAACATCAGGGGCCAAAAACTGCAGTTCTTTAAATGGCCATTTGAGGCTGGCACCAAAAGTGAGTAAGCCCTCACAGATGCCCATGATGAAATGCCAAACAGTACATCAGAAATAAACATGTCTACAGCCTGGTACAAAAATCTATTTTAGTCTCTATAGTTAATTTCAACATTCATGACAACTGTACAGGGGGTTGAATTTTTCTGTAACCCACCAGCTTACATTTTATTACAGCTTAAAATTACACATGATTAAGGGCAGGGCCGCTTTAGCCCTGTTTCCACCTAGCAGCACAGTACAGTACAGTTCAGTTCGGTACGCTTTTTTTCCGTTTCCACTGTGAAAAGTTGTGGATGGTACCAATGGAACTGTTCCTAACCGTTACCATTTTTTGTACCCTTTCTGTTGGGGTACCTAGCACACAGATCTGGTACTAAAAGGTGGAACTATGAACACTGCAGTCCATTGATTGGTCAATGGCGGCCGTCACTCTGCTCAGGGCTGAGCTGTGGCTGGTTTTGAGGCAGAAGCCCATGTTCATATCGTGGAGAGTTTAATTAGTAAACTGTAACAATAAAATTTAAGTATGTTTTGCTGCCTATTGCAGCAGCCGGAGTCGGAGAAAAAATGAATTCATTCATTGGGCCGATAGCCGGGATTTTTAAGGTGGAACATTAACTTGTAAATATTCTATATTACAACTTTGACTATTATTTAAGTTTTTACGTGACATTCACTTTTAGTAATGAGTGGATCTTCAAGCGTTTATATGTATGAATTTCAGCCGGATTTGGTGAACTGCAAATATTCTAATCCTCACTCGGAGAAAAAATAAGCATCGCATAGAGCTATGGCAACACTAAACCCCTGAGCTTGTCTGAGAAGAACCAAATGCACAAACCCACATTTTTTGAATATTGCATGGAGAGAGACTCTCACTGCAGCCTGCTTTACGTTGTTCTGAAAATGTCGGCATGCAGCCTCGTTCTGTGGACGATAAACGAGGTGCAGACTTCCCTCTGTGTCACCGATCATGAGGAAATACAGCGAGTGCTGGACAGAGCAGTGAATAACAAAAACCCCGCCCACATTTAAGGGTACGGTTTGCAGTGGAAATGCTAAACGGACCTAGGGTTTAGGTACCATGTCTGAAGGGTAGTTTGGGTTCCAAAAGTACCATACCGAAAGTGTTCGGTGGAAACAGGGCTTTTGAGTGACAGGCTCTCTGCTGACAGTGTCTTCGGATTCTCATTCAGATCCATCCTTCGCTCCTCCACAGATCCACCCTCTTGTCCAAATATGGTCACCTCTGGCTCCAAAAAGCCAAGATGGCAATGGCTAAAATGCTGAACTCGAGGCTTCAAAATGGAAATCTACAAACCAGGGTGATGTCACTATTGCTAAGTCCATTATTTTAATAGTCAGTGGTGGAAATGTGCAGAATTTCAAATATAATTCAATATATCCATCCATTTTAATCCACTTATCAAGGATCAGGTCATAAGTGAAGCAGGCTGAGCAGGGAACTCCAGACATCCTTCCCCCAAGCCACGCTTTCCAGCTCCTTCTGGGGGATCCTGAGGCGTTCCCAGACCAGATGAGATATATAATACCTCCAGCATGTTCTGGGTCTGCCCCGGTAGCCTCCTACCAGCTGGACACGCCCGGAAAACCTCTAAAAGGAGGTGCCCAGGAAGATCCTGATCAGATGCCCAAACCACCTCAACTGGACCGTTTTGACGTGAAGGAGCAGCGGATCTACTCCAAGCTCCCTCCGGATGTCTGAGCTCCTCACCCTATCTCTAAGGCTAAGCCCAGCCACCCTGCAGAGGAAACTCAACTCACTTGTATCCACAATATCATTTTTTCAGTCACTACCCAAAGGTCATGACCATAGGTGAGGGTCAGAACTTAGACAGACCAGTAAGTTGAAAGCTTTGCCTTCCGACTCAGCTCGCTCTTCACTCCAACAGTCCAATGCAGCACCCGCATCACTGCAGATGTTGTGCTAAGCCCCCTATTCATCTCACGTAGTACCGCGTATTTCGTGTAATGGAATATAATTATGTTTGACTGCCTACCACCAGAGGCTTAAAGGGAAATTTCAGTTTATTTCAACCCATCCCCTATTGTCGTAAATTTGTTTCAAGTGACTAGTGACATAGAAATAATAGTTAGCATGTTAGCCGTTAGCCTAGATACAGCCGGGGCGCATTAGTAGCGTCAGACCTGTTAAAACATAAGTGAACGGGCATACCTTCAAGTGCAAAGTTAGTCCACTAAACAAGCGTTTTTCCACAAAGACCGCCTCATATCATTAGGATAAATGTCAGAGAACATATAGAAAACGACATGTAAACGTGTTGTCTTACCTTACCGGTGTGGTGCCGTGTTTGTTTATCCCTCTAGCTCTGCTTTCCAAAGCGCAGCCGAAATATATCTCGCCAGCTCTAGATAAAGCCCAGCTGGATACTAACGTTACTCGCAGCAACCATTTGTCCTCTACCTGTTGCGCCTCTCTCTCTCTCCTCCTCCGTTCTTCAATTTCACGAAGCTCTTCGTCAGTGTATCCTTCCAGCTGTTGCTGCTTGTTCAGGCACGCTATGAGATCGCTGCTTGTTCTCGCGATATTTCGGCCGCGCTTTGGAAAGCAGAGCTAAATGGTAAACAAACATGGCACCACACCGGTAAGGTAAGACAATACGTTTACATGTCGTTTTCTATATGTTCTCTGACATAAATCCTAACGATATGAGGCGGTCTTTGTGGAAAAAAAGCTTGTTTAGTGGACTAACTTTGCACTTGAAGGTATGCCCGTTCACTTACGTTTTAACAGGTCTGACGCTACTAATGCACCCCAGCTGTATCTAGGCTAACGTGCTAACTATTATTTTTATGTCACTAGTCACTTGAAACAAATTTAGGACGACAGGAGACAGGTTGAAATAAACCAAAATTTCCCTTTAACTGTTTAGTCAGGTGACTGAATGGGACCTTATGGTCATGACATCACAGCTGCTGGTCAGTCAGTCTAGCAGTGACAGAGAGGTTGAGACTGTGGTTCAGTGCCAAATTGGACCACTTTATTGCCACTTTTTAAATATACTGATTTTACTGTTTAACACAAGTTTGAAAGGCTTCCTATTCTTTTCAATATTTTTATTTTTTGAGTTAAATAGGAATTGTGGAACCTTTTTTGTTTTTTTAGCAATAAATTATTAAAGTTTCAACATGTGTTTGGATTGCATCTTAAAAACCATCACAGACTGCAACCGTTCAAGGCGTCTCTGCATTAGGATGTAGGGACCCAAAATATTCAAAAAATCTGCCTCATTGATGCTTTATAAGACAGGAAATGCATTCAGTACATTTGTAAGACTTCAAGGATACAAGCTGGTCACTTTGGTTAGTAACAGTAAATGTACAAATGTAATGAATGAATGCGAAACTCCACATGGCACCTTTAAGCCGGTGGGTAAAATGTTCTTTTCAAAAAGAGGAATGAGTAAGATGCAAATTGTATTTCTCAGCAGAATAACTACTAAAACTTTCAAAAAAAAATCAATTCTATCTGAAACAAAAAAGAGGTTTATTTCTTACCTTCTGAACCTGTAGAGAGGGTTTTGTATTTCCCGGCTGTGGCTGTGACAGATGATTGCTAGCACCACCACACAAAACACAGTGACTCCCATCATGCCTGTGGGATGCAAATGTGAAAAAGAGGCTGTCAGCACATCCTGTGGGGAAATGACTAGGTGGGTTAACTTCATAAGAGAGTGTCTGTCACACCTGATGTCCTTGCTCAGCTTGCTTGAGGAGTGGGAATATGAGGGGAGGTGTAGGCAGTATCCCTGCTGGACCTCACTCCTGTAGCATATCAGAGTACAGTTTACACTTGAGTTCTCCCAGTCGGTAAGATGGCTCAAAAGTCTGTCTGGAAAAACCACCTGAAAAAGCATGCGTGTTAACTGATTACCACGGTGATTTGACGAGAAACCAAGCACAGACATGGGACCCAGTAACACAGCTGGTTCTGTCAGTGCATTTGATTTATTTACATATCGTTAATAGGGGTGGTCCATTTGACAATATACTCTGAGACATTATTTGTTTGTCTGGAGATTTTGATACAAAATTGAAACTGAGATGGGTTACTGTCTCTGGTAATATTAAACAACTGATGGCAGAGGAGAATCAATAATTAGGGCCCGAGCACCTAGCGGTGCGAGGACCCTATTGAAATGCAAGGATTTATTATTATTATTATTATTATTATTATTATTATTATTCCTCCAAATGAATTGCCTTTTTGGGAGGCTTAACATACCCAAAAACTCATGAAACTTTGCACACATCTCAGAACTGGTGAAAAATTTGATATTTTAAGGGTCTCGTGTGTTGGTTCCAAAAAATGGCTCAGTAGCGCCCCCTACAAAATTTTGAGGAAACAGCCCCTGAAGCCAGTTTAACCTACTTGTATGAAACTCAGTAGGCTTATGTAACTCTCTTTGATTTACAAAAAAGCCTCTTGGAGGTATTCTCTAAACCCAACAGGAAGTCGGCCATTTTGAATTTACTGTGCAATTTTGATGCATTTTTGGCCATTTCCAGGGGTCATAATTCTGTAAGTCTCCCAAAAAGCAAGAAGAAGAAGAACACAAGTGACAATAAAACAAGCTGAATTGAATCTAAAATAAAAAATACTACATGTCTTACTCTTTGTGTTTATCTAAATGTCACTTACTGCACGGACAGGAATACTTAATACCAGAGTAGTTTAAACTGTTCCCTTGTCCTCGATAGTCATGCATTGTTTCCTACTGTCATTAATAGACATAGTAAAATCCTCTATGCCAGAATGTTGTTTTGTATTGTGATTATTGATATACACTTAGGGAATGTCCATCAGAGCTGTTGTTAATCAACTGAATGTTTATTTAACTTCTATAAGCTGTCTCCAATAACGTTTCTCTGAATTTGGCAGTACATCCAATCGGCCTCACAACCACACAAGTTGATTGTGTGATTGACTGCTGTAAGCATGCAGATGAGCTTCCCTGAGATAGTTGTGGAGAAATTCTTCAGCTGTGCAAACCAACTGTTGCATTTGCTGTTGGGGTGACTGGTCTCTTACAATCTTACACATGAAGACACTGGATGTGGAGGTCCTGAGCTGGTGTGGTTACCTGTGGTCTGTGGTTGTGAGGTCGGTTGGATGTATTGCCAAATTCATGGAAACAACCTTGGAGACAGCTTATGGTAGTAAAATGAACATTCAGTTCACAGGCAACAGCTCTGGTGGACATTCCAGCAGTCCGCATGCCAATGGCACACTCCCTCAAAACTTGCCATAGATAGCATTTATTGTGTGATCAAACTGCACATTTAGAGTGACCTTTATGGTGACCATCCCAAGGCACACGCAGGCTGTTTAATCAACATCTTGATATGCCACAACAGTCAGTTAGATGGATTATCTTGGAAAAGGACAAGTGCTCACTAACATGGATTTCAACACATTGGTAGGGATGGGTACTGAAACCCAGTACTAAATTAGGCCTGAGGCTAAATTATCAAAGACCGTAGTATTGATAACCTCTGACGGTATCGGTTCTTTAATTGGTATTTTGGTTTAATTAATTATCATCCTGCAGCCTCTCATCATACACACACATTCACACATACACACACACACGGACACGACAAACATAACCGGTGAACAGCCGAGCAGCCACAGTGCAAAGAAAGTGAAGATAACTCAAAAATTACTCGAGTTGATGGCAGCTACACTCGTTACTGAAAGTGCAATAAACCTTAGCAGACAAAGCCAATAATTTATCAATAAATGTGTTCAGCAAGCATAAACATGTTATGCTCCGTCCATAGTCTCTCATGCACCGTCCGTTACTAATGTTATGTCTTACATGCTGATTTAGACAGCACGCTAGTTTGGCTGATAGCAAATTGTTACTAATAAACTAAAATGACAGCTGTCTGTATGTAGAGTGACTTAGTTTGACAGATAGTTGTATCTGTCAAACTAAGCTGCTGGCTGAGACAAACAGCTCCCCCCTCTCTACCAGCACTAATGTTACCTGCACACAGTGAACCACATCAGCAGAGAGGGAGCAGGACAGAGGACAGGAAACTTTTACTTAAAATATTCAATAATCATTTTCTGACTTTATTCTTTTTAAATTAATATATTTTCTAAAAAGCAATTATTTAGAAATGAAAAAGAACCAATAACAATACCGATAAAGTGCTGAATTGATAAGGAGTATCGATAAAAGTAGTAGTATCGATAAAATCTTTATGATACCCATCCCTACACATTGGTGACCAAAATTTGAGAAAAATATATCTACTGAGCATATTAAAAAAGTCCTCAATCTTTAACTTACATCTGTGAAAAATGGGGGCAAAAACAAAAGTGCTGCATTTAAATTTTTGTTCAGTATACATCGTAATATGTTACTTGTCTGCATTAACTGTGTATGGACAAAACAACCACATGGAAATGTCTGTTTTTGTCTAATCCAGCAAATTAAACAGTTTATAAATAGAATCACTTCATCACATTAATACAAAAATGACAGAATAACCAAAAATTATGAAGCAGCAGCCAACAATATAAGACAAAAAAAGGACTAAATTACAGAGCACAAGTTAAAGGAGCTAATGTTGTACCTTGTATAATGTCAATGTAACCAATAAATTGATTGACTGACTGATTGACTGATTGATTGATTGATTGATTAAAATATTGTCATAAGTCAGTAATGATCATGAGTCTTGGGATTTTTTGAATACACCCAGAGAGATTAAACTGACAGGAAACACGATATGAATCTTTTAGCAAAATCTCTGACAGCTGACATATCCATATTCTCCCATGGTATTTCTCACATCTCCCAGTCCTACTGCTAACCATGGAGCTCCAGCCTTCCTCATGTCAGAGTGTCGCACTTAAGACCCAGAGGATGCTTATAAAATAAACAGCAAAGGAAAAATCACTGAGACGTTCAGCTTGCTCGGTGACTCATCGCTGTGAACAGAGTAAGGTGGAAATAACAGGGGGAGGAGGAGTGTGAAGGGGCAGAGCTGTGCTGACATCACAGCCTACTGAGCTGATAGAGGAAACTATGGAAACAGGGCTCATCCCACTCATGGACCACGGCACGTACTGCACCACAAAACGCAACAAGATTGGCGTTTATGTATTCTACAGCCACCTAAAGCCTCATTTGTAACCATCTTATTATTCCAGAATTTGTGCTACACGGCTCATGGTTTCGTTTTCAAAGTAACAGCTGGCTAAATGTCAATATTGGCAAAGATGTAGCTAATACTAGAATAAGTCTTAAAAAAGCAGCATCTGCATAGGCTAGGGTGAAAATACAAGTAAACACATTTTAATGTATCAATTTCAACGTGTGCACAAATAATTGTGTTTTTTTTTTCATCACACAAAATCACCGTTACGAACAGAGAGATGTCACGCCTAAATTAAACAGGAAGCGTCAAAAGAAAATAGCCATCTTCAACTAGCATTACGCTACTAGGGCTATAAATATACCAGACCCCGTTGTCTAAGCAAGCAAACTGTGACGATAAAAAAAGCAGCTAGTATTTTGCTCTAACGTTAACTTAGTTAGCTTCTTAAATTGCTGTTACATGAGCTAACGTTAGCTAACGTTGTCTAGTGTGTCGGTGTGTTTTGACAGGTTAAACATAGAATATGAGCTGTGATCCGTTTACTTAAAGATATCTAAAGAATACCGTTAGCTTGACTGAGTTCAGCGGGACATTTTAAAGAGCTATACTAAGTAGATAAACGATGTTACCTGTTCGCTGTCGCTCGGAGTCCCTCTGTCGTCTCTATTGAAAAGATAACCCGTGTCTCGTTGGTGAGAATCCCTAACAAACACACTTCCACTTTTTCAGAATAAAAGCTTTATCTATACAAACGTAACGCTAACGGAAACTAACGTTACGCGCACAATTTTTATAGTCTATAAGGCACACACACGTCGGTTAGTTTTTTGTTTGTTTGTTTCTGTTCTGTTTTTTTAGTCAAGGGCTGTCTCCAAAATCATTCACTACTCACCATATAGTGAGTAGCAAGTGATGTCGGATACAGCCAAAGACTGAGCGCTCCAAAAAGGAAGCTTTTATTGTGCAAATCTTACAGGAAGTGTCTTTTCACTGGTTGCTGACAAGTCAAGCCAAAATAAACAGCGTGTCTTGTAGCATTGGACAGTTTACTTATGTGCGGTATCGTGTCTGCTGAATTATAACACCATGTAAACCCATGTTGTGACAGGTACGTTAGTTAATGACGCTAAATGATGTTGAACAGATGAAGTTATCGTTTCTCCGTGCTGTTTGGGGTTTGCTGGACGCAAGCTTGCTGTTTGTCGCCTAACCTGCCTGTCTCTAATGCCTGCCTGTGTCTAACGCAGTTTCTGTTTACTGATCGTATAACGTCAGGCGCATTTGATTCAAAACAGTCACTACTTGGTAATCTTAGTAGCCAGGTATTCTAGCCATCTGTGTTTGCTCAGTTGTCCACATGGATGTGTTGTGCTGCTGGGAAGCATGCCAGGTCTTCCATTCGTCGAGGTCAGTGCTTCCTTCGAGTAGTGTTTCCCTTCCGTTAAAATGGCGTTTCTCATAGCGCTCCCCTCCGTGTTTGGAGTAGGGCTAATGATGTTCAAGAAATCGTTTGCAGTTAGTCTTGTTTGAGATTAACTGCGACCGCCTGAAGTGGACAAGATCGGGCGGCGAAAAGAGCTGTAGTCAAGTTAGACCGTTTGCAGCAGCTTTCAAAATATGTACAGGAAGTTACAGCAATATTTACATCCTGTTAGATCTACCCGTAGTTTAAAACCATGTTAAAACTTGTATTATTATCAACCACCAAAGATATGTGTGGTCACTAATGCTGGCTTTGAACTCAGAGCTGGTAACAATCTTGATGGTTCTTTTCCTCTTTTGCCGGAGGACACGACATCCATGATTTCCAAAAATAATTTGAAAGGTAAACTCGTCAGACCACAGCACACTTTTCCACTTTGTGTCAGTCCATGTCAGATGAGCTTGTGCTCAGAGAAGTAGGCGGCATTTCTGGATGTCGTCGATGTATAGTAAGGATGCTTAACGTACAGCATGCGGTCCAGTTGTGGCCCGTGACAGGGTGTTGGTACAGGTTAGACTCAGTGCTGAAGGGGCGTATCAAGGGCCGCTCTCCCAGCGAGCAGTCAGTGAAACGTCTGCCCAGTCAGCGCAAGCTAACACACGGCAGCTGTTGAACGGTCCCAGCAAACACCCAACAGCACCGAAATAGCTCGACTTCTTCATTGAACCCATTAAGAACCATAAAGTAATGTAAGTCGTGTGATGCTAACAGTTAGCCCTGTTAGTGTGTGTGAGCAGGAGAACAAAACGATTTGCAAATCATTGCACTCTGTTTTTATTTACATTTTACAGTTTACAAAACGTTTTTAGAACAGGGGATGTAAATAAATGTTTGCTAAGTCACTGTCACCAAACGAGGTAACACATTAGTAATTGAGCCTATGGCCTACTGATGAAAGTATTGCGTTTGCAGTATTACTAACAGGCTGACTGTGGTTACATTCTCAAGAAAAACCACAAGCAGCATACAGATATTAATAATTTACTCTCACATGCACCGAAATATATCCATATGCACACACACACACAGTACATTTACAAAGTTAAGTTGAGCTACGGTTATAGCTCCACTTGGCCATTTAATTGGACCACTGCCCTTGTCCCAGTATACAAGCATGGCAGGGGAATTTACTGACTGAAGTATGTCTGACTCCACTATGATAGGTGACGATATGCCCCCTTTCAGCTTGTTAGTATTGGACCTTTTTCTGGTTGACCTACTATGTCACAGACTAAACAATCGAGCATCTTCCAGCTGTTTCGCCACTTTTTGAACAGGTCACCATTCACCTGACACAGCATGAGCTGTCTCCTCGTCTGTCCAAAAATGCACAGCTATGACTGTAGATTTTGCCATGTTGTTACCAGCTTCTCCTTCTGTCATGCATGTAATGCTATTTGGTCAAAGCCTGGGGCGGAAACTGGAGCATGTGCGTGTGGGTGTGTTAGTCCAACTCTGAGAAATTCAGTCTAGTATGATTTCAGTCAGACTAAAATGTTCACATGTATTTTAAAAGTCCGGTTTTAGTTGGACTAAAACAATAAATCGATTATCTCTGATGTCATGTAAACATACTGACTGTGGTAGTCCTTTTATCCTGCTAGCCTGGTTGTCAAGCCTTCATCTGCCAACAAACACAGTTGGAGTTACCTCATGGGTGCCGTTAACAAGAACAAAACATTGATCTTCAGCATCGTAACTTTGCCACATAACTGCATGATGTACACGTGAAGTCCAGGCATCTGTGACATCATTGTTAGGTGTGATTACAGGTGTAGTATTACAGGTATTACAGGTGAGAGAGCATACTGCTGATGGGTTTTACTGTGTGTGATCTCTTAAATGTTCTGAGCTTTAGCTTGTATACTTAACTTATATTCTCCCACCTCTTGTTGTCCATTTCAGATGCAGGGCACCATGAGCAGGAGCAGCAGCAGTTCAATCACCCATGGTGTACCAGTGGTGGCGGTGTGCCTTGCTGCTTTGCTCTTCAGCAATGCCTTGATCTACCTATATCTGGACTCTTTGTATCAGACTGATGAGCAGCCGGTGACCTCTCATGTAGGCTGTGAACCTCGACACTTTAAAATGGTGACCATGAAAAACTGCACCCCCTGGCTTCAGTGTTCACAGATCAGTGCTGAAGTACGCAAGCTAAAGCTGATTGGCCAGGGAGCTGTTAAGAAGGTAAATGGTTCAGTACAGCACCTGGACAGAATACAATGTGCATACACAACTTATTCTGTAGTTCTGGGTAGCTCCGCAAATGGCATTTTGTTTTATCTCCAAGAAAACTTAAGTCATAATGTATGCATCTGCTGGGTTCCAAATCACATACTTTTTATTTTTTACTTAACATTCTGCGCGACAGACTGTAATGGATATATGAGCAAGAGGGTCAGAATTCAAGGCGCAGTGTTATGACAAAGTAGTATGTTAGTACGTACTTTGTAAGGGCAGCTGCAGTTTCTACTAAAAGTGAAAAGTAAAAGTATTCCATAGAGAACGCAGAGTGAATAACTTTTAACAGTCATTTAATAGTGTACATTATCTGTAAAAATGTTACTACAATATAATTTTATGACTATTGATCAAGTTATTACATTATTAGGTTATATTACATTTTCAATGGCATTAAGTGCAAATTTGATCACATTTTCAAGCATTATTAGATATTCAGGAAATAATTATATTAATGGGTGCTACAGTATTGCCCGTATGCAGCTTCACCTCCTGACTTACTGACCTCATCATCCACTTCTCTGTCCCCAGGTCTATCTAGCAGAGTGGAGGGGTCAGAAAGTGGCCCTGTCCAAACTATCCTCTCTGGATTACCTGGAGGATTTTCTCCACGGATTGTCTATGTTACAGGCCCTGCAGGGCCCCCCGGTGGTGCAGTTGGTGGGCTTTTGCCTTGAAGAGCACACCCTGGTCACAGAGCACCACCCACTGGGCCCACTACTCAACTTGGATAGTGTTCTTGCACAAGAGCAGCACCGGCAACACAACACATGGCAGGTTCGGCTGAGGCTGGCTACAGATTATGTCTTTATCCTCCATTATCTCCATAACAGCCCAGCTGGGCGGCGGGTTATGTGTGATTCTAACAGCCTGGAGAAAACTCTTTCCCAGTTTCTGCTGACAAATGACTTTCACCTGGTAGTGAACGACCTTGACGCGCTGCCTGAGGTGGACCTATCCAGAGGCTTGTTGGTGAAATGTGGTCACCGGGAGCTCACTGGGGACTTTGTTGCCCCAGAGCAGCTGTGGCCATACAGAAACAAAGGACAGCCATTTTCAGACGATCTCATGCCTGGGTATGATGAGAGGACAGACATCTGGAAGATCCCAGACGTGACATGGTTCCTGATGGGAAGGGTACCTGGAGGGGATGTAGTCCACTTCCATCTTTTTCAGATCCACGAGCAGTGTAAGAAGGATGACCCCAAGCTCCGTCCATCAGCCCTGGATGTTTTGAAGTTGTACAAATCAGTCTACATAAGCATGGTGCGAGACAATGCTGGCTTCAGAGACATGCTGTAGAGTGCATGTCACTTAAAAAGACCATGAACATAAAATAAAATTTCAAGCTACAGGTTTACAGTGTTGTGCAGTATAATAAATGCTACTGGTTTTGGAACCAATTGTAGATTTGTTTTTGTTTTTTACAGCAATACTTAGCCACATTTACTTATTTCTTGTCCAGCAATTGTAAAAGTGAAATTGAGGTATGTTTAATGTTCTGCTGGTGTCTTGCTCATTTAGACTCACCCAATGACTAAGCTTCATCTGACAGACACCTCACTCTGTTTGGGAAGACCTCTATGAGACAGCTGTGCCCTGCAATTGAGCACTCAAGTAAAAAAACAATATCTTTCAGGTCTTCAGGGGCTCCATAATAAAGTGCAGTACACAGTCAGTTCCTGAAACCATTCAGTAGGAAGCATCCATGTGACTTACAAGTGAAACAGCACCAGATGGAACCAAGCATGGGGGGGTCAAAGGTGAAATAGACTGAGTCGCATACTGGCTATATAGGAAAGTGACATTGTAGTCCAGTCATAGAAAAGTCAATTGTAGAATGTATGTAGACTGTGAGGAAATGCCATATCTTGCTTATGTAATCCATTATGCCCAATCAAAACATAACATACAACATTTCATAGGCTCTAATACCAAATATTATAAAGAGATATTAAAAAATTAAACTTAACATTTAGTGAGAAAAGTGGTCCTCATCACTATTACAGGGCATGTCCTACTGAAATTAAAAATTTGTTTATGTGGCTAACATAAGGAACAACCTGCTTCATATATGGAGAACCCAAGTGTAACTGAAATAGTAATAAAGCATGTAATTAATAACACATTGTACAATTAAAATAAGCATTAATAAGTTTGCTTGCAAATTCATTTAATAATCTCCAAATAAAGACTAGACTCATTATTTTATATTTTAATGGACAATAAAGAGGAATTATTCATTTAAGCAATATCACACGAGAGGGAGTGATGTGGGTGAAAGAGTGACATTGGCTGCAGACATGGAAGTGTTCTCTGGTGTCATCTAAATCATTAGGAGCAAGGAGGCTTCATTAGAGATGAACTCAATCTTGCAGGAAGCTGTAATGGCAGTTCCACAGGGCCAACAAGGTGTTGGTAGATATCATCAGAGGTTACAGTGATGAGTAGGCACATGGTCATTAGTATATAAGGAGGAGTGGTGTACAGTCATTTAAAGTATTCATTAGATAGGGAAAAAGCAGGTATTTAGAAAAAAGATGCTTAGCCCTGACAATGCTATCACACTTTTCCTCCTGTGAAAGACCCTTGAGTCTTCATATGATTAGACTGCCATTTCAAGGAAGGAGTAACATTTTAAACAGCGCTGACTGCTCAAATTGGCTACAGAACACCCCCTATTAATTAACCATATAATGAATGGAGAGAAAGCCTGGCAATAGCAACCTGTTTCCACTGACAACTCAGTAAACAAACAGCAATTATACAGATCAGGGTAGAGGTGTGATTTCTCAACAACACATCAAAGCAGGCTTTGAGCCATGATAAAAACAAAAAAAAGGCTTTGCAGTTGTATGCCTCAGCAAACCTGTGAAGTTGCAGATACAGTTTACATTGATGTCTGTGAAAACATGGATGCTTCACACACAACTTCACACAGATCTATACACAAATACAGTTATCAGTAGCAGAGCAGCAGTGTTTTGTCTCTGTTAACAAACACTTGCACATGAAGAACAACCTATGTTCTATATTCATACTGTGTCCTGTTCAGAGTCACAGAATGCCTTTATATTATTCATTATTCATTAGCATTTTGTATTATAACCCAGAATATGATTATGGTGTCTTTTGAACACTGGAAATAATTTATTTTGGCAAAAGTTTCAGGGAAAATTGAAATTCTGTAACTCATCAACCTGAAGCTCAGGAATGATCAGCCTCACGTGTGACTGAATGGAAATGACATAAAAGTGTTTCTTGCATACAGACAGTCTCTCTGCATTTAACTATATCACTAATAAAATTGATGAGGGAACAATCTAACTGTGATGAGAAAAATCTTTTTAATAAATGAAGAAAGTAGTTTGTGGTCCTTTCCTTGTTCAGATTTTAAACTAGATGGTGAATCAGAAAACAGCTAAAATGTAAAACTTGGGAGTGATGCACCTGAAGTTCAATCTGTTACCTGTCTTCCCTCTGGTATGAAACTCCGGTGATGCTGGGATGTATCACATCAGTCTGATCAGCTGCAGCGCCGTGCTGTCCAATCAATAACTGATATCCAATCAGGGGTGTGTGCTAGTCGACAAAAGACTTCTGCGAAGGCTGCACTTGTGTATCCTCGCTTCCCTCTCCACTGAAAGCCTCCTCTCTCCTCGACTCCTCTGAGCACATTTAATGAATTCAAATGTCCTTCAAGATAGCAAGTGTCAATCAATTGCCAGGTCAAGGGACTGAGGATAGAGGATAGAGGAGTTGAAGGAGAGGGATATTGGGATGAACCCATGGCCAGAAAAGTGTTTTTTCAGAACATTATGATGTCACAGTGAAGTTGACCTTTGACCTCTTGTATATAAAATATCATCACTTCATCATTTTATCTGGTAACATTTGTGTGAAATTTTGTCATAATTAGAATATGAATATGAGTTATGGCCAAAAAACAGGTTTTGTGAAGTCACAGTGACCTTGACCTTAACCACCAAAACCTAATTAGTTCATCCTTAAGTCCAAGTAAGAGTTTGTGCCAAATTTAGAAAAGTCGTGGACTTCTTGAAATATGGTGTTCACAAAATGAGACATACACAATGTCACAGTGACCTTGATCTTTGACACCCAAATTCTAATCAGTTCATCCTTGACTCAAAGTGGGATTTTGTGCCAAGTTTTTAAAAAATACCTTAATGTGTTCTTTAGATATTGTGTTCATGACCAGTGTTGTAAGGGGTACTTTAAAAGTAATCAAAGTATGTTACTGCGTTACTTTTTTAAAAAAGTATCCAGTTACTTTACTGCATTACTCCCTGAGTACAGTGACTCAATTACTTTAAAAGTGCTTCCAACGTTACTCCCTGAGAAAAGTAACTCAAGCACTTTTAAAGTACTTTTGAGTATTCTACATTTCCTATTGGGCAATGGACCACAGGGTGCAAAGCCCACATTATTTTGTCTCCAAAATTAAAGTTATGGACCACTTGCCCTTCACTGAGATCCAGTTCTCCCATCACAGCCGTCACTTTGACCAGTAGAAACACAGAACGATCTGCTGCCGTAGACAACTGTATGACAACAACACCCCAGCATTTTAAATATTTCCTCTAGGGATATTACCACACAGAGTAAAAGGGGGAAATGATGGTGTGAAACAGCAGACGCACTTTGTCAACCCGCTGAGTTAACGTTACTGTCATTAGCATCAAGCTAGCAAACAATGGTACATCCTCACGGTCAGACATAAAGTAATAACGCTAACAAGTAGCGGCGGGGCTTTTACTCACCACAACTGCAGAGGCTCCCAGCTTCATTTGAAACAAACTACATTATAGACGGTCTGTTATTTATTAATCCCTCTGTGTGTTTATATATTTACTTTTTAACCGCTCCCGTTGTGTTTGTAAAGTTAACATATCGCACCGTCATTTCAAACTCAACACTTGTTTCAAATTAAAAGCCCCTTATAACCTCGGCTAGAGAATCCCTCCATTTTCTAAATAGGCTTTTATTCTGAAACATTTGTCAGAACTTCCTGTGGAAGATACAGTAGCTTGACAGTTTACGTATGGGGCTTCAAATGTAGCTCCTGCCATCTGCTGACGCTTTTAGGTGACTACAACAACATGTCGGCTGGCACATGAACGTGACTCAAATAATAGTGAAATAAAAATAGGACAAGAATAACCCGATGACATCACACACGCCGTGAAAGACGACCGGGGATAATTGGTGAGTACCAGCGTGTAAGTTAGCGTGTACCAGGCATAATGCAAGTCTGAAATAGGCTATGTCTGTCAGCAAGTCCTACCTATTTAGACTCCACCATAGACAACGGCAGCATTTCTCCGACCACGTAGCGAGCCACAAGTTCCGTGGCTTCTTTCAGACTGATAGGTTTAACGTTATCTCCGTTATTAGAACCAAACGACAGCCGTTGCTGTTTCGGAGCTGAAGGACCAGCGTTCTAAAAGTAACGGAAGTAACTGATGTCTTGTTTGAAAATGTACTTAAGTATTTGATTACTCAAACAGCAAACTAACGCTTTAGGTTACTCGTTACTACAAAAAGTAATCAAAGTACTCTAATGCATTACTTTGTAACGCGTTATACCCTACTCTGTTCATGACAATGACATGGATGCAAGGTCACAGTAACCTTGACCTTTAATCTTTGATCACCAAATATGAATCAGTTCATGTCCATGTCAAGACTAATCAAGGTACCTTAACTTAGTGGAGGGGTTTGCATGTCCCTGTGAACCTGGGAGCTGTGTTGTCTGGGGCTAATAGCCCCTGGTAGGGTCTCCCAAGGCAAAGCGGTCCCGGGGGAGGGACCAGACTAAGAGCGATTCAAAGACCTCAATGAAACAGACTTTTCGGGAGGTGAGCACCTCACCCGGTATGGGGACACCGGGGCCCCCTCCTGGAGCCAGACCCAGGGGGAGAGCTCGCCAGTGAGCATCTGGTCGCCAGGCCTTAGGCCATGGGGCCCAGTCAGGCCCAGCCCGAAGAGACTACATGGAGCTGTCGCCCTGTGGGCCCACCTCCCGCAGGAACAGAAATCAGGGGCAGGTGCATTGTGTGCCAGGCGGCAGGCAGGGGCGGGGCCCCTGGCGTGCTGATCCCTGGCGTCGCGGACTGGCTTTGGGAACGTGGAATGTCACCTCTCTGGTGGGGAAGGAGCCTGAGCTGGTGCGGGAGGTGGAGCAGTACTGACTAGATATAGTTGGGCTCACCTCCACACAACACTAGTTCTGGAACCAACCTCCTGGAGAGGGGCTGGACTCTCGCTTTTTCTGACTGCCGGTCGCAAAGTGAAGGTCTCTGACTGTTGTTGGTGCTCTTGAGTCTCTTGGTGGCATCCTGCAAGGGGTGTCGGCTGGGGACTCCATAGTTCTTCTGGGGGA